AATCAAGCAGAGTTGTTGAACGATAATCGCAGCGATATCGATATCGAGTTGAAGGAGAGGTTGGAGAGTGAGTTTGCATCGTTGTCACCTGAGGTTATCAACGAGTTCATGCATGACCTCGAAACGGCTGTTCAACAGCACCGTCGTCATATGGCCGCGAAAGCAGCCGCTCTCATCAGTGAGCTTCCTCAATCCAAAAGACATCAACTTTTACAAAAACTGTTCAAAATTCGTGAGGCAAAATCGTAACTATTTTCTTGAGTTTTTGAAGTCTTGATCGTGATCATTCGATGATGGGAGAAGAGAGAACTTTATGGATCAATTTTGAGTTTGTGAATTTATGATGGTCACATTATGGAGTTCATTATGTGAATTTCTAATGATCACGTATCTTTTGAAAAAAGAATTCTTGTCTCATCAAAAACCTCCAGCTGTTTTCAAATGTTGCATTCATTGCTTATCATTGATATTTATCATGAAACTGTTTCTGTAATGGTCTATTCAATGTTATGCACTTTCTAGTTTCTATGTTTATTTCCAAATTTTCGGTATTTTTAAAAAATTTTTCCATTGTTTCGATGAATTAGAATTTGTCGAAATTGGACCTTCTCTAACATATCGAACAGTTATCATTCATGGTGTGTTGACAGCATATTCGTTGGTGTACTTCGCAATAAGCCATATCGACAATGCAACAATTTAATTTTTGTGATCCATCATTTCGAATAATGAGAATTTATGATGTTCTTCAAATAATATAATCATATCATTAAATCGCATCTAAATTCATGCTCTTGAATTTGATCAGTGCGCGATTTTGGCTTGTAGTCGTACATAACAGTTGAGGGATTGTCCAAAGGTAGACAGAAAAATGTTTGCATGAATAAGTGTGCGATAATCAGTTGCACGTTTAATATTTGATAATAATTTGGTTGTGAATGTTAAAGGTAATAGCTGCGAAAGCAATAACAATACTTACGATATTCATTCAGTTGTTCATTTCAAGAGATTATCGTCACAAATTTCTTATTCATTGTTTATTGCTCGTTATTTATTTCTGGTTGTTAATTATTTTTATTTGTTATGTTCAACCGTCAAATTTCATATCTTTGTCCATTCCTTATGTATTATAAATATTCAAAACTTCTTTTGTTCTGTACTATTGGAACCACGAATCTTTCATCGGATTGCATATTCTAATTACGTTGAGCTGTTGTTTTAGAATCTTATTCGTATTTATAGACTACTTCAGCATTTAATCATTCGTTTTTAGACATTTTTGAATGTTTTTATAGCATTTCGAAATAAACGAAAGGTATGAATTTGTTTTGTTTTGAATGCATGAA